GAGAGAGAGAGAGAGAGAGAGACCGATCAGGTAAGGAAGCCGAGAATCTCACAAGGAAGTCCTTTTCCCGGGAAGCGTGGTCTCGCCGACGTTGGACGCAGCGATGCGAGAGCCACTTCCCCGCGGTTCTCGCTGAAGGCAGAAGAGAGAAGAGGCAATCGAGAGCGAGCGAGCGAGAGGGAGCATCGTGGTCGCTGACCCGGCCGGAACGTTGACTCCATAGAGTCAATCCCCCCTTTTACATTTTCCCCGAGTCTTACCATGTAGCGCATCTTCGATTACGCGGAGTTACCTTACCTTTCCGCTCATCACGTCTCACCTCACCTCACCTCAGCTCACCTCATCTCACCTCACCTCACCTCACCTCGTATCGCCCATGCGTCGCACGATGATCACATATCTCGCTGCATATCAGCCGAGAAATCTCCGGCTCTCTTCCCCCTTCCCCCTCCAACTAGTTTTCCTCTCGACTTTTCCGATAAGTATATCTTACTTTCCGTTTTACCTCCTCCGCTGACTCGTACGCCGTTACTCGCGGGAGTAATCGACTTCGTTCACTCATTTTTCCTCGTTTGTGTTTCCAGTCTCCTATCAGCGGAGGAAGAATAGCTCTTCCTCCTCTTCTGTCTTCTTCTCTGTGCGTAGAATGGAAAATGCAAAACATCATTTGTCAATCTTGAATATCCTCGCGTGTCAGCATCAACGTCGACAAATGTGTTTTGACCAGAGATAAAACAGCATCCTTGACATTTTTATGATACATTATATATGTTTCTTTTTTGTCATATTATTTATTTATACATGGGTATAATTATTTGTTGATATATATATAAATATGTATAACAGCATATAAATTATAAATATAGATAAATATGCTTAGATAGATATGCTTAGTGTATAATACATGAAAAGAACAGTTTAGCTGAAACATCTAAAAATGTGGTCATAGATATGAGAATAATAGTTGTATCATCAAAATAATTACATAAGATACTAGAAAATTGATTGCTAGCATTAAAAAATTTTTATATTATCAAATTTAAATATCTTGCATAATATTTACTTTGATGGTCTAACAAAATTATTTTCAAGTTTCTAACTAAATAGTTCGAGTTTCTAGCAAAATTTTTAGATATTTCAATTTTTTCGCAAAAATTTTTTCATCTAGAATTTACAAATTCAAACCAACGCAAAATAGCGGCTAAGAGATTTCAATAAATTCTCAATTCGCCTAGTTTCTCATCTGCGTACTTGCAATTACTGAAAACCACGTAAATTCGAGAAAAATAAGGTACGGCTCCGGATGATAATTGCGTTTCGGAGCATCTGTAGTGCGATGCGAGGTACCGTTAGAATCGTTATCGTTCCCGGATCGGGTCTGTGGATTCGAGTTTTACTTACTAACGGTACTCATTTATTCCGAGAGCCGAGGGCTCGCTTCCCCTCTAACTCCACAGATCGTTTTTAGCGTAGAACATCCTTCGTTTTATGACTGTTTCGCGCTAATCATCTAATTATTATTAATAGCCGGATGGACAGGTGCCGCTTTTTGTTGTCGATAACAAGAACATCGACATTGACTTCTTTTACTGCATTCCTGTATCGTCACGTGGAAGCATGAAGAAACTAATTTAAGAAATTGCAGATTACGATTTATCTGAACGTGTGAAAAAAAAGAGAAAAAAAATTGTAAAGCGAAAGAAATTGTATTTTCAGACAATATTTAGTATAACAATAAATAAAATTCATTAATACAACAAGTAGAAATGTATAAAAAGAGAAAAAAAAACCTAAACTCTTCTTTTACTTATATTAAATATATCACAAGTTTTTCCTGAAGTTCACTCTATGTATCTCATTTTTCTATATAAAATAGAGTCACACTGTGTAATAATTGTTTGATTTGATTCTTGATTTATAATATTTTGAGTTAAAAATTGGGAGTTATAAATGTGGATATTCAAGTATTTCCATTTATTATGTGATATCCGTATGATTAACACATTGTATTTTTTTCTCTAAAATAGCAGAATAGTCTTTACGTTTATATAATATCATTTTCATTCCATAGGGCCATTCTGCAAAGTCTGTATGAAATACTATGGCAATCGGCTTATAATATGTATGTAAAAATTCGGATATTTTAGACATGATATTACTAAATATTATCACATAAGTTGGTAACGTTACTTTACTATTGTTGATATAATTGTTCTTGAGCCATGTTGCCGGGTCTGCAAAAAATTGATCTGCTTCGTCTACATAGTCTTCAATATTGTTGAAATTAGGTTCGCATGTTAAAAATCTTATTGACGCATTTACGTGTAAATGACTGTACAATGGCGTGGCATGACACGGAGTCAAAAACAACGTGTCCGTTATCGAGGAATCTGCCTGAGTAATCTCATGTCGCAGAATATCCATTATCACCAACGGAGCACGTTGATGAATTAGAGAAAAATATAGTATAGCGGCGAGGTTGATGCTTATTGACACTGACGTGATTATGTTATAGAATTGAAGCGAGCAATAGGTTTTGAAACTGTGAATACAAGAGCAAATTACGCATATAACCATTGGAAAAAGGGGTAGGATAAATCGAAATTCCTTGTGAGGCAGCCATGAGTAGACAAATATCGTCCAAATTATCGTAATCATCATAAGTTTCTCTCGATGTAAAAATTGGCGTTTTTTTGTACATAATACCCAACAAGCATATAGGAATACAATAGCATGGTATCCAAACATTACGGGAAGAGCGATAAAGATATACCATAATAGATGATAACTACCATAAGTACTTCCAATGTTTTTAACCACATTCATTTTGAAAAAATTCCACGGAGTTATCACGAACGTTCCATAACAGCAACTATCTATTAATACACAAGTTGCGGCACAAGTAAGACCTATCAAAATATATTTTAGAAGAATTCTTACATCCAAATATAAATAAACATTTATATAAAGATGAGCTAGACATAAAGGAAACCATATAACTGCAGCGGTGGGCCTCATCATACAGAGGAAACCCACAATCCACAAATAATCTGTATCTCGTATGCATCTCCATGGATAGCGTCGTTGATTTCTCCATGGGTATATTGTCAATGCTATTGTAGTACAGGCAGTCTCTACTGAGTTTATCAGTGTTCTTGTAGCACAGTAATACCAATACCAATTCAAACACATAGCAAATAACATTGTCTCGTTCTTGTGCCATTTGAAAAACTTGTAATCCGCATAGGCAGAGAGAATAGCTTGGAAAATACGAGGCAGTGTTGTCAGGAGCAGCACAGAATCCAAAGAGTATAACGCGAGCACACGATAGAGAATTGATATGAGAAATGGATATACATAACTACGAATCTGCCATGTCCATTCCCATGTTAGGTGTCCGTAGCCGAATGCCATACGATGAGCCACTTCTAGAGATTGCCAATATTCGTCCGGTGCATGAACAGTTTGTACTATAAATACTGCAATTACTCGCCATAATACCAGAGCCTGCAGAAATCCAAATTTGTCCAACAAATACATTCTGATCCATTGCATTTTAACCAGTGATATTTATAGTAGAAGCATACGTTTTTTCGAGTTTTCCTCAAAGATGTTTTTACCACGACTGATTTTGTACAACCTAATAAAAAAAATCGGATACATTTCAGATATTTCTAACTACGTCTCCACGCAATGTTTTGTCATTTAAAAAGAAGTTGTTACCGAATACTCTCATATAAATATACTATAATTTGGAGGTTAGAGGTTGAAAAATTGCCCAAAGTTTTAATTCTTACTCCTTATAAAAAATACTTTCTTGTTATTCACAGCCAACATTTCCTTTATTATACATCAAGTAGACTGGAAATCATAATTTTTTTGACCGATGTTCACCAAAAAATCACAATGCATAAGTAAACACCGAACCACAGGGCTGAACCACAGTATGTACATACAGGATATATTCCGAACGGTGATAGTTTGGCTCTTTGACTATGGCTGGATTCCATGCGCATTTTGTATATTGATATAGTATATGTGATATAGTATATATATGGTATAGTAGGTGTGTGTGTGTGTGTGTGTGTGTGTGTGTGTGTGTGTGTGTGTGTGTGTGTGTGTGTGTGTGTGTGTGTGTGTGTGTGTAGTA